TTGATTTCAGCCAATCAAATTTGTGAATTTGGTTGTTCCCAGTCCTTGTGAGACACAGCCATATAATAAAATCTGATTTTGGATTCTTGGGATATGAAGTGTTTTTCCTAAACTGAACAATTTCTCTACCCTGTGTGCCCAAAGTTATGCTTAAAGTGCATCATAATTAAACCAAACTTCTCTGGAGTGTCTCTGGAGACCACCTTGGTGGAACCCATTAGTAAGTGAATGATGATAGGGTGCCTTTGCAGTATTTAACCTGCTTTAACCTACAAGCTCTAAGAGTGACTAGCATCTGATTTCTTACCACAGTATCACCTCTGAATTAAACATTAAAGTCATGAGAATAAAGGAAATTATGATCACCAATTAGAGAAGCTTGTTTATTGAACAAATTCTCCTTGGAAATGTAAAGAGAACAGAATAGAGAATATGCATACTGATGCCTGAGTGTAAAAGGTAAATGCACTAATTACAGCTTTTTTTTTTATAGTATGCTCGAAATAGTGGTTTTGATAGCTGCAAGGAGATCTTCAGTGTGATTAACAGTACAGAATCAGCTCTTTGCAAGTCTCTCTATGTGGCAGGATTTCGCTGGATAGAAGCTGATCTTACTTCTTCTGTTGTCGGAAGTCAGTGTTGGACATATTTGATTGTTTACAGGCCAAATTTAGTTCCTAACTACCCGGTTGAAAATGGTGTCAAATGGAGCTTCATTGCAACATCTGCACTAATAAATTTTTGTGAAGATATTGTCATTATTTTGAACTCATCTGATGATGGAAAACAAACTGTGGGGCAAATAAGAACCTTGATGAATAATTTTGAGAAGAGATCAAGGCTGGATTTAAATATTGTCCACCCTTCATTTCCTTGGAATGGTATGTATACAGTGCTCTTAATTCACTTATAAATAATTTTTATATCTATTGTTAATACTAAAATTCACTTAGACCTTTTGGAGTTAAGCGACAGGGTGAAAAGGGACTTTGCCATCTGCATTTTCCTAGCTTTACTTCTACTTCTTTGATTTACATTTCAGTGGAAACCTTGTTAAGCTTTAGGCAAAAATGGCCCATTGGGATCATAAACTTAATAACCTTTTTCTTTGATGGTTTAATAGGAGGGGCAGGACCTTCTCCTCCAAATCAGGTAGTGGTTGTTGGTGGAGGACTGGCTGGTCTTACTGCTGCAGCTTCTTTGTCTAAGGCTGGTTTTCATGTTGTCCTTCTAGAGGCTTCCAATTACTTAGGTATGGAGATTACTTTGCAAAAATCATAACAAATGATTGCAGATGCAAATGCTCTTATGTAAAAAGTTGTTTATACAAATGCAGTAGTTTTCTAGAGCCTACTAAACATAAACTAGCTGCGTAGAGGAAAGGCAGTGCTTTCAATAAGATTTGAAATAGGTGGCTACCTCGGTACAACATCCGCCGGAGAGCGACTTGATTGCGACTTATCGTGGTGACTGCGACTTGAGCGCGGTGAAATATACCCGGCGACTCGCAACAGAATAGCCGCCGGAGCTCCGGCGGGTGCCAGGTCTTATTGAAAGCACTGCCCTCAGTGCAATCTAGAGCTCTACAGCATGAGCTAACTAAGCACTAAGCACGGTCAAAAGCTGTTCATAATATTCAAAGCACTTGAGCATTGTAATTTGGAACTAGCAATGAACATGTACATACAATATCTTGTTGTGATTCACACCTGTTGTTTAAGCACTAATTCTCTAGCATCCTTGGGTAAGAT